ATGGTATACGATATTGAAAAAGCGTGTTAACACGGCACAAATAGGAATATACCAAGTGACAAGTGTATTTAATTTTTACATCTTGTCATTTAAGATCACTTATCATTTTTTCAACTAAAAAATTCCTGAAGTTTCATAAGGAGATTATGATTTGCAATATATGCGCTTTTATCAAATTCAGTTTTCCATTTTAAGTAATCTGCTGCATAATATTCTCTTTGTCTCTTTTCTTCTTCTTCCCTTGCAATCCGCGCTCGTTCTTCTTGCTCCTTTCGTGTATTTTCAAACAATTCATTTGTATAAATTTCATAAATGGTACAAATAGTATTTTCTAAATGTTCTAAACATTTATTGTGCACTTCAGTACCAGGGGGGAAGACTTCTGGATTCGGAATAATGGCCCACCGATTACCCATGCGATTGACGAGCATGCGAACCTTTTTGTTCCAAATCTTTTCAAAATTTTTTGGGTCATTTATATTTTTATAGCTACAATTGTTAAAGACAGTAATCATATTTAGAAAGGCCTCTTCCCCGAAAAGCGTCGATATACCATCGATCATGTTTATTTGCTCATCCGTTAACCTTCTGGCTTCTATTAACAGCACCAAACAGTTAATCCTAGATTTAACAAACTTGATTTTAATATCTCCTACGTACCCAAAACAAATAATATGGCCTTAATTCCATAAGCACATTTTAGTACGGTGCGAGCGATTTCTTCCATGATTTCTTTATTGGGTTTTTCGGTATGAAAAATCCCAGGCGTGTCGATGATGTTATAAGTTTCGTCACCAATTTTGTAAATTGCGGAGCTAGATTTGTTGGTTATCGATTCCTAGCATATTTGAGAAGTTTTGGATGTCGGATAAATTAAGATGAAACTACATTTAATATTATATTAAGTACATATCGACATATTTTAATGCTTACAAGACCTTCGGAGACCTTAAAAGCGTTCTTATCATCTTCCGAGATTCTTAACAAATAATTTCCCAACGTACTCTTACCGACACCTAAGTAAAAAATTAATTTTCAATAGCAAATGAAGGAAATACATAATATCACATACCTGTTTTTCCAATTAAGAGTATAACTGGCGCATTTATCTCCAAAGGTGGCAAATTTTCTTCATTGATATCCAACGGTAGCGATCTTTCTTTATCTGACAGTGATGATTTTCCTTTTTGGGTCCTTATTAGGAATAAGTTTAATTAAAGAATGAAAAAATTTCATGAAAGCATAGTTAGCGTTAATATTTGAACTGAGACTTACATATTACGGAGCAATCACTCTGTCCTCCTTCTTTAAAAAAATCAATAATCAAAAAAAAATAAAAAGATTAAAAAGAGAAAAGTAAAGAATCAAAGATTCTTGGTAGATCTAAACCTTATTTCCTTATTTAGTAGTAATCATAGAAACAAAACCATTACGATAATAAAATTTGTTTTTTATTATCTTGAGGGGTATTGTTCAGTTAGTAATATGTATGCTGTTTTATCGAATTTGGTTTAGAAATATTTCATAAATGTCATTATACGTAATATTGTTAATATAGCAAATTAAAACTGGGCAATAACTATTCCTATTTGAGCTTATGGCTTAAGCTTGAGACTAGGACAAATTCTAGATCAGTTAGCTAAGAAAATTATTTTCGAGAATCTATGGTGCACTTGAGCAATATCAATTATGTCCGCATGTACGAAATATTATTTATGTTATAATATAGCATGAGATATTAATCATGTATTTTTTAATCATCGGAAAAAATGTGGGCTACTTAAATCGCCCGAACTTATGTTTAATACGACAACGTTTATGAAAGTTTCATCTTTTCAAAAAATTTTAATGTATATATTTCTTTTCTATCAAAAATAATTCTTAAAATTATTAAAAAGTATGTACTCGAGGCACTCTTCAAGGTTAAAATCGAAAATCAATTTAATATCAAGAAGAAAAGATTGAAATACTTACTTTATTTCACTAAAAATAAAGCTCGTGTGATCCTTCGTATCTTAAATACGAATGATGAAAAAATTAAATACACTTGTCACTTGGTATATTCCTATTTGTGCCGTGTTAACACGCTTTTTCAATATCGTATACCAT